CTTCTCAATGCTCGTAAAACCAACATTGTAGTTTTGATTTTACCTTACATGATAACACACTTGGCTGCAATGGCACATTTAATTTAATACTGTGAAAAGACCAGTTATAACCACTTCACAAGCACAATTGCACCTCATGCCGACATCCTTTTCCAAAGACAGTCAGCAGCGTCTTTCGTCAAAACTGGATGATCAATCCCCTTTCAACTGTAAACATCAAAAATATTTCTTCATGGTGTGATCTCCATATGGAAACCTTGCAGGAAAAGAATTAATGTCAATTGTCAGCTCTTCAAAATTTCTTTGGACTTTAACTTGGAGTACCATATCCAGTTTGCTTTGATATTTTGTTTTTTATTCCATGTTGAAGTTGAACACCAAGCTCCAGATATAGCAGGCAGCTTGATCATCTTCGGCCTTGGTATAATATCAGTCCAAGTTCCAGTGGTGGGTATCTTCTAATATTCAAATTAAAATGAAAAGCAATAGGCTTTCTCAGCGCCGACGACGGATTTCACGTTGATAAAAAAGGGAGCTCAAGGTCAGCAAAACTCGGGTTCAAGGAATGGCGGGCGTTGAAATGACTGCTGACGTCATCAAGAAACCGCTAATGGTTAAGAGATAGGGACTAAGCTGGTCCCACCCTGCAAGTAAAGGGAAGAAATTTCTTGAACACCATAAAGCTGCGGGGGTTGCGACCAGGATAAATGGTGGTTTCTGAGCCTGGCCGCAAACTTGGCTATCTCAACTCAAAACTAATGTTAAGGTGGGATGGTCCCTTTAAAGGGACCCTCCCACCTTCAAAAAAGTTAATGAATTGGCATAAAAGTGATGTAGCGTGAATCACAAAGAGCGAAAATGAACATCTACCAAATTTTACCGGAAAATATTCACCCGTTTTCGAGATATAAGACTTTTATTTTTGTTTACTTTTTGGGAAATCCGCTGTTTCTATGACGTCACATAAAGGTTTTCTTTACGTCGGCATTTGGAAGCAATAGTTTGGTATCAAAGTGCGACAGATATTGCGCGAATGACGCGTTTATCTTAACAAGGTCAATATATGATGGCCAATAAAGGATTCCAGGACAATTCTTATGGCATTTCTTCGTATCGCAATTCTTCGTCTGCAAATCTTCGTCAGGGCATTTATTCGTACCTATCGCATTACTTTGTCTCGCACCAGGGTATATGAAAAACGGCTCGCATTTCTTCTTCAACGCAAATATATGCAAGAGTAAGCATTGAGGGACAAATAAATGCACCGACGAAGATTTGTAGACGAAGAAATGCGGACGAAAAATTGTGCTACGAAGAAATGTCATGCGAGGATTCGTTCGGGTACCATGACGGTGATTTCAAAGTCAAGGTTCACAGCTGATCTGCTAAATCAAGCCAAGAATCCAAACTATCAAAAAACTATAAATATTTGTTTGTCTGTCACAGAGGTCTCAAGCAATATAAGGTTGACATATGTTGAATCAAAAATCTACTGCCACAACTCACATCTCCTGCCTTAGTTTATCATTGTTGTTTTAACTTGCTTTCAAGAGAAACAGAAGGCAGAAGCCAGTATCTGATATCACTTCAGATGATTGTTTCAAGATCTGAGTTCAAATGGAAATAAAAGCAAGCTCAAGATGAAACAGGGATTATTGCTGTTAAAGTAGTTTGGCCATGATACAACAAGCACATAAATCATTAGCCAAATCAAATACTGGTTGGTTTGTCAAGATGTTTGTTGTCTGTCGTCTGTCGAGCTGCTATGAACACTGAACGCTCTCACTCTTACTTTAAAGATAGTAGTTTAAGTTGAATGGTAGTGAGCTGTAATTAGACAAAGCAGCTATTCAGTGCTCACATCAAGCCAGGCTAGGAAATGGCATCAACTGTGGTGGGAGGAAGCAGGTTCGGCAGCCCTATGTTGTAAACTTCTGTTATGCCTTGTGTTTGATCAACTGATGTTTTCTGCTCTGTTTTGTGCAGTGATAGTAGCAGGTAACTGCATGCTTGTCAAATTATGTGAATAAACGAAATCATAACATTGCATTTTTCTCTCCATGCAAGGAACAAGTAAGATGTTGTAGAAAATGTAATAGAGGGCTGCATTGCTGATTTTGCACTTTATCAGAGCTTTATTTAGAATTGCTTTCCTGAAAGCTACACACAGGCCACAGTGCTGAAATTCACAATGTCATAGCTTTTGGCAGAAAAAAGAAAAGACTTACCCAGGTAAAATTGGCTGAAAGTATGGCAGAGCAGGTCTTGATGCGTATGCCCATCCGTGTGCTTGCCGAAGCCGAACTGACTGCAACACATTTAACTCTGACCCACCATGGTGGCTGGCATATCCTGAACTTTCACCACTCTAAACAAGACAACTTTCAGCCCTCAGCATTGTATTAAAACACTGTACAAAACACTCAAAATTTGTTTCAGTGCCATCCACAGACAACATCAGTCGCCATTCACCAGGCCAGTAAAAACAGAATAGATAATAGCTTCAAACCCATGTAGTCAGAGTTACTAGGTCTGCACCTCAAAACAAAATCCAGGTGACAATGACATTCACCACGCCAGTAAAAAACAGGTACTTAGGTAACATAACAGCTTCAAATCTGGTAACATGTTGGTCGGACTTTACGCTACCATATTTACATGGAATAATATGATACCAAACAATAGTGCAACCATTCTGGATAACAAAAGTGTATGATAGAATTAATTTAGAAAACTTTGGCAGCATGATTTACGAGCACAGGCAGGTGTTACCTACCAGCCTTCTCAATGCTCGTAAAACCAACATTGTAGTTTTGATTTTACCTTACATGATAACACACTTGGCTGCAATGGCACATTTAATTTAATACTGTGAAAAGACCAGTTATAACCACTTCACAAGCACAATTGCACCTCATGCCGACATCCTTTTCCAAAGACAGTCAGCAGCGTCTTTCGTCAAAACTGGATGATCAATCCCCTTTCAACTGTAAACATCAAAAATATTTCTTCATGGTGTGATCTCCATATGGAAACCTTGCAGGAAAAGAATTAATGTCAATTGTCAGCTCTTCAAAATTTCTTTGGACTTTAACTTGGAGTACCATATCCAGTTTGCTTTGATATTTTGTTTTTTATTCCATGTTGAAGTTGAACACCAAGCTCCAGATATAGCAGGCAGCTTGATCATCTTCGGCCTTGGTATAATATCAGTCCAAGTTCCAGTGGTGGGTATCTTCTAATATTCAAATTAAAATGAAAAGCAATAGGCTTTCTCAGCGCCGACGACGGATTTCACGTTGATAAAAAAGGGAGCTCAAGGTCAGCAAAACTCGGGTTCAAGGAATGGCGGGCGTTGAAATGACTGCTGACGTCATCAAGAAACCGCTAATGGTTAAGAGATAGGGACTAAGCTGGTCCCACCCTGCAAGTAAAGGGAAGAAATTTCTTGAACACCATAAAGCTGCGGGGGTTGCGACCAGGATAAATGGTGGTTTCTGAGCCTGGCCGCAAACTTGGCTATCTCAACTCAAAACTAATGTTAAGGTGGGATGGTCCCTTTAATTCAAAACAGAAACACATTTCCGAAAGTAGGTACCTGATTGCATTCATTTGTTTTCTGCTGTTGAATGGAGATTAAACTCCTGAGCCAGCACGTGGTTTCTTCATATTTTCCATCCCTGGTTTGTCCCTGTCCCAGTGGTCAGCACCGCTCAATGCTCATCATCCCCACCCCAGCCCGCACCCGGGCCCTCCCCAGCACCTTTCCGCCGTCTCCCGGCACCGCTGTGCCGTCTCCCGGCACCGCCCGCGCCCGGCGCCGCGGGCGACTGACTGACCGCCGCCGTCCGGTCCGGTGCCTACCGGACGGTCGGGTGTCCGGTCGGGCCGGTCGGTCGCCGGTCGGTGGGCGCCGGGCTGCCGGCGGCCAGTCGACAGACCGGAGCCGGTCCGGGCCGGCCGGCTGGCGTCCAGACCCCCCCCCCCCCCTCTGAACGATCACCGCCGGTCACCGAGCCACCGACGGGGGAACGGCCGGCGACCACTGATCTCTGCTGAAACTGGATCCGGACGGGGAGCTGTCCCTATTTTGGGCAGGTGGACTAGCTGGGATATGGGGACGGGGTGTGGACACGGGCTCGGCTGACTGGTAGCGTTTGAAATGAGGACAGGCAATGTTGCCGTGCAAAGGCAAAAACGCTTACGTCGGGCTTTGTTCTTACGGCAGAATGGTCGCCATCCTCTTCAAACACAGCGGCGCCGAGACGTTTCCCTTTAGGCTATCCTGAGCCCTCCACTGTTCCCTGATCCCGGGACGCACAGCGGCAGGATATCACGTCGATAGCCCCGTCGGACCGGCTGGCCGGTAGCGTTCGGCAGACCTCGGGGCCCTCATTGGCTATACATGACATTCAGCGCTGGCCGGTTGGCCATCCGGCAATCGGCATGCACGGATAGACTGATCGGGAGGGGGAGGGGGAAGCGGAGCGGGACGTATGCTCAGCTAAGTATGTCCATCCGAGGGCGATCAACCGGTCCGACGGCCGACGCATCGGTCAGACTTAACGACTGAAGTCACGTACTCGATTCATGGTCTATACCGTTCACTGACAGGTTCTGTTCTTTATATCTGATATGGCCTGACCTGACCTGCGTGCGGTCCTGGCTCAGTTCTTCTACATAGCCCTGACCTGACCTGACGTGTGTTTTGACTGTTTCTTACCCACTTTGCCCTGATAAGTGAGTTGTGCACACTCGGGACAGCTTCAACCGAGACCATTGCTCCCGTACGCCTCACCCTGACCTGACCTAACCTGACGTGCCTGATTCCACTGTTGCCTTCACTCTGCCCTGATTTGTGCCGACAGTTTTAAGCCCTGACCACTGCTTCTCCCTACCCCGCCCCGCCATTGACACTAGAGACCTGTTTACCGTACCCTACCCCTACCCCTCCCTGACCTCTCCGCTCACTCGCCCCCCCCCCCCCTCTCCGTCCTCAGGGTGGACACGCCGTCCGCCGACTCCGGCGGCTCGGCAGAGGAGGCCGCCGGCCGACGATCAGCCGAGATCCTCTCCAGCGCCGACAAACACTACCTCATCATGCAGTGTTTCCGGGCTTACGACATCATCGGCAGCACCCGGCTCGACTCTCCGGCACTCCGGCAGAAGCGGAAGACCTGGGTGGAGATCTGCACAGAGTACAACCGCAAGTTTGGCAGGTCGGTGACAGACGCCATTTCGCTAGGAATAGATGGTAGCATTTGTTGTGAATAAATAAAACATGGGTAAACGTAGACGGTGCTCATTGTGTCTGGATTGACCTAAGCCCATTAGTCAATCAATTCAATAAACCAACTCAGTTGAAAACAAATGTTGTTACGTTGGTACTTTCGGGACGGAGGATTCCGGCCCCGCTGTGCCGAGGTTCATGTGCATTGTGCAACGCTCTACGTCCTCTCACTGCTCACCCTACCTGACGCCCATATCTTGCCTGACGTCACGTCATCCATTCGACGTGATACAACCCCTGCTTGACGCCATACTACGGTCCCCGACAGGAACCTGGGCATCAGCACGGTGAAGGGCGTGTGGCGGCGCTTCGTGAAGCAGCGCAAGGACGACCTGATGAAGACGCTGAAGCTGCGGAACAAGGAGGAGGTGACGGAGGACGCCCTGCTCGAGGACATGAAGGCGTTCCTCTCCAGCTACCGGGAGGCCCACGGGGTAGAAGAGAGCGACGACGTGCCGCTCTACAAACGCATCAGGGCTGACGTGGAGGAGAGGCCGCTGACGGTACGCCGCTGGATGGGCAGGGTGCTCAATGAACTTCCGTGGAGGAGGGGGGGGGAGGGCATGGGCGAAAAGAGCGTCGATCGGCTCCACTATGGGTTTAAGAACGTTCCTTCGCGAGATTTTTATCGTTTCGCTTAATGATGAAAGTTTTCATGTGATGGACATTTCGGAAAAGGCGTAATAGCTATTACTGGCAATTCTTTATCGATACCTTTTCGACTTTTTTAACCGATTTCCCCTCGAATTCATTGGAAGACATTTGAATTCATTGTTAACGCCCACAACACTAGAGGCACTAACCTACTACATCCTCTCTGACCTCAGGCGAGCCACCGGTCTCAGCGAATGTCGCCTGAGCAGATTCTAAACCAGCTGCGGCGGCTGACGCCGGCGCCACCTCCGCTGCGCGCCGCGAACGGTGCTGCCGCCATGCGGCGACGGCCGACAACTCCGTCCGATGAGCCGGACGAGGGTCTGATGTCCGAGGAGGAAGAAACGGCCGAGGGGAGGTGAGACCAACAAACTCTGTTCCAATGCTGCCTTCCAATGCATGAATCATAGCCCTCAGGTACTTAATTACATGCATCCGTTATTGATGAACCTGAATCATTTTATCGAGCAGTCCGTGGAATGCTCATAACAACCTTTAAAACGGAAAATACGATATGTGGCGCAAACACCATCAAAGTAAAATTGCCTAACGACGTTAATAGAATCATAAAACGGTAATGACAAAGTGTCGTAAAAAAAGATAAAAATGGATCAAAGGTCAGCATACCTGGCTTCCTGGCCGGTCCCCGAAATCTCGACTGACCCAGTCCCATCCTCCGCAGTATGCTGGATCCCCGGGACCGTCTGGGCTGTGACGTCAGTATTACTATGGTGGAGCCGGAGAGCCGGCCCCCGTCAGGCGGCGGCCGGCCCGCCTCTCCGTCCGCCCGGCCGGCGGCGGCGCCGACAGCGCCCCTGGCGGCGGCTCCCGGAGACACGCTCTCCGAGAAGCTGGAGAGGGACCGTCACCGGCTGCAGATGGAGCAGCTGCGCGAGCGGCACCAGCTGGAGCTGCGCCAGCTGCGAGAGAAACACCACTGGGAGGCAGAAAAGACGCGGCTCGAGGCCGAGATCCTGAGCATGCGCAGAGACTACTGGTGCCTGCTGCTGGATAGGTGCCGGGCGGGGGTGACGCCGCACCCCGCACAACTCTAAATGGAGGGGGACCCAGCACCCCGCACAGCTCTAAAGGAAGGAGTCCCGGCACCCCGCACAGCTGTGAGGGGCCAAGGGTTCCATCCAGCAGACCGATCAGCTCTGAGGAGGGCACACCCCACTGAACAGCTGTGCTAAGGAGACATGGGCCATGACACTGAGGTGTGTGGGATTGGGTCTTTCGTGCTGACTGTCGTTGCATGGTGCCTTTGGTTCTCACAGGGCTATTGGTTCGTGACTGTCTAAACTGCGTAATTATATATGGCTGTCTTCCTTTTCTCATATGTTGCTGTTGCTTGACGTTCGGTTGGTTGTGAATGACTGTGGGTTTCGTTTGCACGTTTAACAAGAATGTTATGTTCCGTTTGCTTGTGTTGGGTGAATTGATCGTGTTTTTACAATGCATACTGACTGCTGTTGATTCCCATGAGTTACTTGCTAATTGTGTACTAGATTGGTGTCTTTTTAAATAAACCGCACACATCTTGAGATCGAATCAGTTTTCGCAGCCCTCTTTAGATGTGATATTGAATATTGATATTATTTCTTCTATCTGCTGCATCAGCGCTGCTGACCAACTATGGGTGTCTTTTTATCATTGGAGCCTGAAGATTTGAGTCTCTAAGGCGTTCGATGCAGGGTTTTGATGGACCATGGTGGTACTTGAATTTACTACATTGCCCATAGAATAACTGGCGAGGTTGAAAAGGGATGTCGCTGAGTGTTGAAGAATTTGTCTCAGTATCGGGACACGCTTAGCTCACACGATTTGCACAAGGTTTATGCAACACTCATTAGCGTAGACTCTGCCTCTCTCAATCCATTCATCCAAACACTTCACATTGAATTGATAGCAAGCATCGATAAAAGGCCCAACATTCAACGAAAAACATAAATGACGCTTGAAAATATGTAATTCCCATTTCCCAACGGCCAACGCAACAAATTTCACGCACACTTGGCACAAATAGGAAAATGGCCAAGAAATCGATAGCAAATCAACAGACTTCACTATTTCTGCAGAGCTCACATTTCACATCAACATCGCGCTTGCTGTGAACGGCGAAGTCGTCAATCGACACGCACGGCGTTTATTACCTGGTGACGTTTTCATTGTCCTGGCTTTATCAGTGGCCCACTCGAAAACAGGCCTGTCATTGGCTGAGGCAGGGCGGAGTCGGCGCGGCGCACCTATGCCCTGGGGAGAGGGAGGGGCCGATTGTGCCCGCGCAGTGAGCCGCTGGACGGCCACTCGGGTGCAGCGCGCCAGGCAGCGCGCGGCTGGGACTGCCGGCAGTGCCGCCTGGTGGCCGCAGGTGCAACTACCGACGGCTGGCCGGAGGACGGAGGACGGAGCTCCCTGCTCCCGGACCCCCAGCTAAATGCTCCGCTGACGGAGCAGCAGAGAAGGAATCAGCGGGAGTCTGGAGACTCGTCCGAGAGCTCCGAACTGGTTTACATGAATGAGAACAGAGACCGTCTGACGATAAAGCGAAACTCCCGCGGGCCGGGAAAGAAATAACGCAGCACCAGCTTGAGGAAACGAGGCCATACTGAGTGGGGAAAAGACATAAACCGTCACAGCAAGAGAGCGATCTCTCCCTACGATGAAGATAGTCATTACCAAACGCTCGCAATTTTCTTCGGATTGAAACAAGTGTCACCGAGTGTCAGAGCCTCGAAGTCGACAATCTTGAGGTCCTAGGCCAGTCCCTGCACGTCTCTGAGCCCTAGTGTAGCGCCGGCGCCCGCTACTGACCGAGTCTGTGTATCCGTGTGCAGACAAATGGTGCGGTGTTGACGGTAGCGTCCGTTTCTCGCCGAGCTCGCGATGACGTGCCCGGCCAGCCTGCAGTGTCTGGGCCCGGCCGAGTCACCACCACCACCGAGCGCCGCCCCGGAGGCGGTGACCACTCTGCGAGTACTCGTTGGAGAGGTGAGTCAAATGGCCGTCGAAAAAAAGCAACACCTATCGTAATCATTTAATCATTAATGTCCATCAAGCTCGGCGCCAGGGCCACGTAGCCAAACACTTAAACAGCGCTCTCATTGTTGTAATAAAGTCCTCTGGTGACGTTATTTTTAATGGCAAAAAAAAAAACATTTCACAGTTAAGATAGACATTTAAGCGAGGATTAGAATACCGTTTACCTACCACTTACTTCTCGCTGGTTTTTTTTTTTACCCACTAAATATAGGAATAAGAATATAACCTATCTCCTATACCTATATCTCCTATATATAACGTCACCAATAGGTATAGGGTCTAACCTATCTCCTATCTGCTATAACCTATCTCCGAGGGGTAGTCATCCGCCCACCCGCTCATTCCTTACAAAATGGGTCAAAACCCTGTCCGTAAGTGTCAAGGCCCATATGATCGTCAAAATCGCCATTAGCGTCATGCATATGACACCCGTACCGCACCCGAAATGCAACAGGCCCGTGCAGACTAACATTCTTCTCGATAGATGTCGCTAGTGTAAACGCCTGAAGTGATGCTGCACCGCATGGCAGCATACGCTTGCTATCTCTGATCCTAAATGGCAGCACTGACGACGCCTGCGGTTAGGCTGTGCCGCAGTGCTTAAAATGTGATTGCGGGAGGAAGTGGGCGACTGCCAGAGACGCTATTTTTTGCTGCTTTTACAACATTATTGTTAATCGTGACAAACGAGAGAAATGCAGACCAGTGTCTGTTTCTGCAGTCACGGTTTTCTCTACAGATAATGTTTGCATATCCCGTCGCCCGTCGATCCGCGCTCGCTCCTGAGGCTGACGTTGCGGGTTCGATTCCCGACAGGATCCGCCTTTTACGTACCACACTACTGGGCTGGACGGCAACGTCACCAGCGCCGGCTACGCCATCGACGTGCTCAAGGTTCTGGCCAAGGAGGTGGGCTTCAGGTGAGAGCCACTAGCCAGTCACACTTTGCCAATAAACTTCGTGTGTGTGTGTGTATGTGTGTGGGTTCGGTAGGGAGGGGAGAAGACGGCACGACTGGATGGAGGTTGGAGGGCTCTTTGGTCAAAGGTAGGAATGTAGATCAGCTTAAGTATATATCGGTCCGACCGACCGACGGATTCGGTCGTCAATCGGGCATTTGTCTATTGAGGTCAGAAATATTGCTTGCTTGAAAATAATAAGTGGAAAATGGAAATGTCGACAAAATCGATTGTAGATATGTGGAACGCATTATACTTTAGCAGGTCTAGCCTTATAAACCATTGAATTGGAGGAAATTTTTGTCAAGTTTCAGTCCAATAGGATGGAAGGTGAGGGTCGACACAAACGCATAGAAAATAGACACAGGGAAGAGGGTGGAGGGAAGGAACAATAGCCCTAGCCCCTAAGTTCCCTGACACTCTATGCCCGGCCCTTGCTGGATAACTGCTTTCGGCCAAATAGCCGACCGGATAAGCCTAGCTGGTGCATTGTATTGCGGTAATGGAACCGGTCCACTCAGATTGTTGGATGCCATGCCATCAGACCGCAACACAGCGATGCCCGCAGTCGCACGCGCCACGCACACGTGGCGTTCGATACGCACGTGATGTAGTGTCTGCCGCGACCTTCATAGTAAGCTGACCGAACACATTTCTGGGATACAGGGCTGTCACCACCGGGCTGCGCCAGTTACACTCCCGGCGAATACGAGCATTCGGTGACGTGGCGCAACTCGTTAAACGTTCCGGTCGGTATTGACAGTACTCCAATATAGGTATAAAGGAGCAGAGGCCGTGCTGGTAATCGAAAGGCTCCATAATCGCCTTTCCTGCGTCACAGCAAGGCACAAAGACGCACGACCACCTCGAGTAAATTAAGCACGACATGTCGGTACGGCGTTATTGGGGGAAGTCGGTTAGCTTCAGTGCGTGAGAGGGCACGCACCTGTACTTCTAAATTAACAACCACACGGGACCTTCATAGAAGCAGGTGACAATAGAATACAATGGAATAATGTGTGACATGGGCGGTTCGGTGCTGGTATTATCAGATTGATGAATGATGATGAATCGAAGTGCGGCGAGTTTCTACTATACAGGAAATGACGGCTAGGAAAGTAACCTACGGCACATTACTCGTTGTTTTATTGAGCATGACAAAGAAAGACATGAATGTAAATGCAATATTGTTTTCAGAAAAGATGAATGGTGATATTATCGTTTGGTAGAACCTGCATTGGGAGCACTTACTGTTCGTTTTTTTTCTTGCACCAATCGGTGAAGCTCTTTGTAGCCCAGGTTTGACCTCTCAAACACCGAACACGCATTATGTACCAGTAAAACGCCTTTTGGGCGAAGAACGAGCGAGGGAGATAGTGAGCCCTGCACGTGCGGAAGGGCGAGAGGGTGCTTCCAACGGGCTTGCGCAAAGCACCCTTCTAACCGGTCGCTAGCGGTGTGCCAAATTTGAACGCAATCGGCCCAGCCGTTCCTGAGATCTGGAAGCGGCATTCTGCACGTGCGCACGTGCAAACGGGGTCCAAAATGACTTTTGCACGGCACCCTACTAACTAGTCCCCAACCGTGTACCAAATTTGAGCGCAATCGGCCCAGCCGTTCTCGAGATCTGGAAACGCCCCCTGCACGTGCGCACGTGCAGTAGCACCCTAACCGCAACACATGGGAATGCATTGCCTGGTGGGTGCCTACCTGTATGCCAAGTTTCAGCGAAATCGCCCCAGTAATTACCGAGTTACTGAAATGGGAACAAATTTGGCACCTCTTATTGTTGTATTTTGCACGTGCACTGGAGGTGACCCACATGCTTCGAGAGTATCCTATTTTGGGTAGAAGGAATGCTGCTACCCTACAAAAATTACCGGAAGTCAATCGCCCAAGCGGTTGCTGAGATATGAGCCTCTCAAAATCACTACTTTTGCAAAACAGCTTGAACACCCTTGACTTTTCACGTGGCACGTGCCACGACGATCACAGAGATGTGTCAAAAGTAGTCAATTACGGGGTAGAAGGGATTGGGCTACCCAACAAAAAAGACCGCAGGCCAATCGGTCCAGCGGTTGCTGAGATATAAGCCTCTCAAAAGCGTTACAGGCCGGGACGGGCCGGGCCGTGCCGCTCATACTGAGATTTTTCCGTTATATTGAAAAGACTCACTTCACTCGCTGCGCTCGCTCGCTCGCTGCGCTCGCTCGCTCGTAATAACACCAGTAAAACGCCTTTTGGGCGAAGAACGAGCGAGCGAGATAGTGAGCCCTGCACGTGCGGAAAGGCGAGAGGGTACTTCCAACGGGCTTGTGCAAAGCACCCTTCTAACCGGTCGCTAGCGGTGTGCCAAATTTGAACGCAATCGGCCCAGCCGTTCCGGAGATCTGGAAGCGGCATTCTGCACGTGCGCACGTGCAAACGGGGTCCAAAATGACTTTTGCACAGCACCCTACTAACCGGTCCCCAACCGTGTACCAAATTTGAGCGCAATCGGCCCAGCCGTTCTCGAGATCTGGAAACGCCCACTGCACGTGCGC